TCTCTAGCAAACTGCAACATCTATTATTGGGAGCACGTTGTTTGTAGCAGTTATTTCTTTAATGGAAGAGAGAATGAATCAAGGGGGAGAAAGCCTTAAAGTTTTAAAGGGAAACTCCAAACTACCTGTTTTAATTTAATTTTATATATACATTGGAAAATTAATGGGCTCCTTGGTAATGCTGTAGCTTTTGGAATTCATTCAGAAGGGCTTTAAAATGGAAATGCTGACAGATTATGAACTTCAGAAGCAAGAGTGGACCTGGTATCACCTTCACTCCTCAGGCACAATGCCCACTGTCACAAGTGTCCTCATGGCCGTGTTTCTCTGTCTCTGTCTGTCTCTCTGTCTCTCAGAGAGAGAAAGACAGACAGACACAGAAACAAATATTCTGCCTCTCTTCCTCTCTGTCTCTCTGTCTCTCTGTCTCTCTGTCTCTCTCTCTCTCTCTCACACACACACACACACTAATTAAAATTTAAAAACACATGAATGAACTGATTAAAGTTTCCAGTCAGAGATAAGTTTGTTTCCTTCTGATTGACTGGTGCCCTCCATTTACTTTACTTCACAAATGAACACCTTGAAATCTATGCTAAACAGTTAGAACTATGAACTATTATAGAGTGAGTGAGAAACAGGTCACAGGGCTGGTAACAGTAAATTACTGCTAGACAGCAGGCTCATCTTAGTTCTTGGCCATTCTAGCTTTGGTTTTACTGGACAATCTGGGCTATAGTAGGTATGAAATGATTCAAGTAGATAATCTTGAGATTCTGATCAAAGGAAATGTGGCTATGTAGAATTGGAACTGGAGACTTGATATTATTCAAAATATGTCAAGGCTAAGTTCTGTTAAGGAAAGTGCACATAAACTCAACACATTTGAGTACATTTATAAAAAACTGAAAATCAAGGTCCCTAAAAAGGTGGGGGGGGTGGGGAAATTCCTTGGGAAGGAAACAGTAGAAGCAAATAAGATCTATAAAGTTTGAGAAATAAAAGATTGGAAATTGAGGTTGGATTAGAACTGAAAAAAACATTTGCCTATGGAGGAAGGTTTGAGAGATTCTATCATTTGTAATCTATTGTACATAAATACGATTTATTTGACAAAAAATATATAGCCATTTTCCCAAAGAGAACACTAAGTTGTTCTTATGAATCCTCTAGTCACCTTCTGACAATCTCCAGCTGAAGCATGCTTCCAGCCCCTGCCCAGGCCTCCACCTGGCACTTCTAGCCACAGCAGGCACCCTGGTTACTTTCACAGTCTGCCTCTAACTGAGGTATGTTGTTCTAAACCAAATAAGAAACCTTGACTTCTAAGGCTCACATTTTAAATTGAGTAAAGTTTAAATATACTTCTTTTGTATATTCAATCATTGTCTGAACATCAAATCTATTTTCAGTGATAGAAAATAGTACGTCCCATTGTTCTAAAGGATAGGAAAGAAAACTGGTGTAAATTCAGATGACTGAAAGACCCCCCCCACGATCGATCCAGCATCATCCCTGTATTTGCATTCCCACAATGCACCTTTCATCCCACCACACCACCTCCATGCCACCTCCATGACATTGCCTATTTCTGCCCAGTCTAGCTTGATGGCGCTTGTTCACTTGGTAGATACCTACTCATCCTTACCGCACCGATGCTTTCAGTCATGTTCTGTTCCTTTGGGCCCAAATGGTTCCATGCCACCAGCACTTGTTTTTCTTTTTTTCTATCATCTATATATGTTCATTTTTCTTGGTCGAGTCTAGACTTATCAGGTTATAAGCGCCACAAGGGCACTAAATATATCTATATTTTCACAATCCTGGCCTTAGAACAATTTCCTGCTGCGTTGTAGGCACGTAACTATTCATTCACTTCTTTAATAAAAATATAAATCTGGGATTTCAATTAAGCCATCGTTGTTCTTCCTAGATACATGTGAATGAGAGTACCCACTCATGTAGAGGTCTGGAAGTCAGGCAGTTAGGTATTGTGGTGCTAACTAAACCAGGTGTTGCTTATCACATGAATAAATGATCAATCCTGTATCTTCATCACAGTTATGGATAGTATTTATTAAAAATAGAGATGCCTAAGCTGGGTGTGGTGGCACATGCCTTTAATTCCAGCACTCAGGAGGCAGAGGCAGACAGATCTCTCTGAGATTGAAGCCAGCTTGGTCTACATAGTGAGTTCCAGGTCACCTGGGGCTACCGGGGAGATACTGTTTCAAAAGGGCCTAAAAGAGAAGGAGGGAGGGAAAGAGGGAGAGAGAGAGAGATTCCTGTCAGGAGTAGTGGCTCATGCCTGTAATTCTAGTATTTGGGACACAAAGGAAGGAGCCTGGGCTACAGAGTGAGACCTTGTCTCAAAAAATGAGCAAGAGGAAGAGGAAGAAGCGGAAGAAGATGAAGAGAAGGAGGGCATTGAAGAGGAGGAAGAAACAGAGAAGAGATTGTTCCTGGGTCTTACCTCAAATATAATCAAAATCCTTAGGTGTAAGACTGGGAAATATTAATTTTACAAAAGAAACCAGTGACTGACATGATCCAGAAGCTCAAGAATCATGGCATTCCAAAGAGTATTGACTTCAGGGTTTGGATCTGAACGCGGGCTCCAGGTCCAGCATTTATTTGTTATGTTATTAATGCTGGGTGACTTAGAAAAGTAAAATGACCTCTTAGAGCCTCAAGACTTTTTTATAACATAGATATATGTTATAAATATAAAT